TCCCCCCAAAGCCCCAGTAGACAGTTGTGTGTCATAGCTGCACATCCTTCTAGTTGCTGTATGTGGGACGCGGCCTCAGCATGGCCGGAGAAGCAGCGCGTCGGTGCGCGCCCGGGATCCGAACCCGGGTCGCCAGCAGCAGAGCGCGCTCACTTAACCACCAAGCCACGAGGCCGGCCCTCTATTCTTTTTTATAACTTTAAAAAAATAAACTTTTAAAAAGTAAAGCTCACTTACTTTTAATGTTTATTCTTTTCTAATTTATGCATTTAAGGCTAAAAGATTCTCTCAACATATCACTTTAGCTGCACAGCTTGAATCAGATCATTTTTATTGTCATTCAGTCTTACAAATTTTATAATTCTCAGGTTTAAAATTTCAAAATATATGGGTTTTTTATTGATTTTTATTTTTATTTTTTAACATTTTGATCAGAGAAGAGAGTCTGGAAGAAATTAATTCTCTGGTATTTGTTGAGACTTGCATTATAGCCTAGTACATGATGAATCTTTGTAAAGTCCCAGGTGTGTTTAAAAAGAGTATTTATTCTCTACCTATTGAGAACAAGACATTAAACTTTCCCATTATAATTGTGGATTTATCAATTTCTCTTCAATTCTAGTTAATTTTTACTTTATATTTTTTAAGACTATAATGTAAGGTGCATTAAGGTTCATAAGTGTTATGTACTTAATGGAATATTTCTTTTGTGATTACACACAACCCTCCCTATCCCTAATAATGCTTTTTGCCTTAAAGTCTGTCTTATATTTATAGTCTATGTTAGTTATTTTTTAAACTGATAGTGTTCCTGGGTATATCTTTTTACACCTTTTCACTTTCAACATTTGTATCATTATGTTTCAGATTGGGATCTTATAAGCAGAACACAGCTGAATTTTCCACTTTTATCCTGTATGGGAATCTCTCTTTTAGCACCGAAGTTTAAACCATTTATATTGAGATTACTAATATACTTGGATTTAGCTCTACTATGTTATTTTGTGTTTTCTATTTACCACGCTGCTTCTTTGTTTCCTCCTTTTCTCCTTTCCTACTTTCTATTAAATTGATTGGTTTTCTTCATTTTCGTTGAATTCCCAAGTATGATTTGGCATTTTATGTTCTTTTTCACTTCTTTTAGTGGTTACTCTTAACATGTTAACATGTACATTGGGATTAATGCCTAATGTTAACAGCTTTCTTTTCATCAACAACACAAGCTTTAATTCCCTCTGATGTTCTATGTTATTATTGATAGTATTTTGGTTTAATCTTGGTTTGTAACTGCAAAAATTATTCTTAATATTGTTTAATTGGCGTTTTAGCCACCCCACATTATACAAACTGGGGCCTGCCCACAGACTAAGAGCCCTGAACACAGGAAACCCATCTAGTGCCATTCCTTTCTTCCAAGTATCCCTCTAGTTTCTTCTGAATTTGGTTGCAAATAGGGTGCTCTATGGTAACTGGTTTTTCCATTTTGTCCAGAAAGTATACTTTTTATCTGCAGGAGGGTCAGTACATTAGGAGCTTACTCAGCCATGACCAGAAGCAGAACTCATTTATCATTTTTTCAGTTGATATTTGTATAGATTTATCCACATTTACCAATTTCTTTGATTATCATTGCTTCTTGCATCTGATTTTTCATCTCACGTTAATTTTTTTATTGCTAAAGTTCTTCTGTCATTCTTTCAGGAAGGAAATTCTAGCAGCCTTTATTTGCTGAAAATGTCTATTTCGCCCTTATATTTGAATGACAGTTTAGGTGGGTACAGAATCTTAAGTTGTCAGTTCTTTTGCAAAAGCACCAAATAACACTGAAGGTATTAGTCCATCTTTTTTTTTTTTTTTTTCCTGACTTCAAATGTTGTAATGTGAAGTTTGTCAGTCTAATTATTCCTTTGTAGGGAACCTCACTTTTCTCACTGGTTACTTTTAAGAGTTTTTTGTCTTCAGAGTTCTGTGGTTTCACTAAGAAGTGTCTAAGTGAGGATTTGTTTGCATTTATTCTACTTGAGACACTTGGTAATTTTCTAAAACTTTCATAAATCCTAAAGAATTCTCCAAGCATTATAACTTTGAATGTTGTCCCCTGCTCCATACTATCTCCTTCTGGAACCCCAGTTATATGTCAAACTTCCCCTACTTTTCCATGCCTCCCAATCTCTTTTTTCATCTCTTTGTATTTCTGGGATACATTCTGGATAAGTAACTCAGTTCTAGCTTCTAGTTTAGTAATTCTTTCTTCATTCGTGTTTTCTCTACTGTTTAACTGTTTTGAAATTTACTGATTTTAATTTTCATTTCCAGAAGTTCTATTGATTTATCTGTACCTAAATCTGCCTGTCCTTTTCTCTTTTGTGTCATTCCTTCCTTACAGTTTCTATTCATTCTTTTATTTTTTGAATTATTTTAAACATACTTCTTTTATATCCTCTTCCTGATTCTTATATTATTTTAAATTCTTAGAAGTGGTGCTAATCCTCCTATTGAGTGTGTCTATTAACTCTTGTTCAAGGTGGATTCTTTTCTTTCACGGTTTATCATTTTGGTTGAGGTCATCTCCAGCCAAGATGGCTTTTCCTGTAAGTGCACGTTTTCTGTGCAAGTGTTGCCTCAGAGCAGCTATGCATCTGCTTTCACAAGGCACCACAGAGAGGTCATCAATTCCGGACCAGCTTCAGGTTTGTTTCTTAGCTTGGGGAATCCTGTACCACATGAGTAATAAGATTTTGATCTTCAATCCTATGTGTAGTGGAGGCTTGGGACTCTGAGCTTTGATTTCTTATGGAAGACTTCTTTTCTCCCACCCAAGGGTCTAGGAAAAGATCACCTGAATTGCAG